GTATTCGCTGGAGGACCATTCTTCACCGTTTTCTCCTGACACCTCGAGTAGGCTTCGGACAACTCGTTTTTCAGGCTTTGCCACAATACGAGTCACCGTTGGACCAACGTGTGACTACTAAGGAGCGAAAATTCTATGGTTCTCGTGCTCGCAGTGTTTCCCGTTAGGACGGATTAGCCATTTCTCTCAGTAGACACGGAAGACTCGACGGGGCGACCGCGACGAAAAATTGCACAAGCAACGAGAAAAAATGCGACGTGTCCTATTTGAGAAGCGGTAGAAGCTGTTTTCCATTCCCTGGACGCCAGTGGGCTTTATTGCCCCGTCGAAGATTTATTTGTAGCCGAATGATAGACAGCGTGGATTAGAATAAGCGTAAAAGAAGAGTAGAATCAACGATTCATTAAGGAATGTCGTAAATCACTGGGTCGAGTCTTAAATCAAGACTCTTAATGAAGAATATCTCGGCCCAACCATTTTTGTCATTGTTTCGTTGCATAATCTTGCATGGAAAAAATTCAGATTCTGTTTAAAACCTTCGTCGGACGTTTCGTTGATCCAATTTCAAAGGACTCGCTGTGAGGCAATTCGCTTACTACATTTTTAAACGAGTTGCTCCGAGACGTTCCGCTGATCAAACTTTGAAGGAGTATTTCTGAGACGTGTCAGTTGTCAAATTTCTAGAGAAGTTGTTCCAAGACGGTTCGCTTTTTATATTTTAGAGGAGTCTTTCTGTCTCGTTTCGTTGATAAAATTTCGAAGGAGTTGTTCCGCGTGACGTTTCGCTGATGAAAGTTTGAAGTAGTCGCTCCGAGACGATTCTCGGATGAAATTTTAGAAAAATAGTTCTGAAACGTTTCGCTGATTAAATTTTGGAGCAGTCGCTGCGAAACATTTTAAGACATTTCGCATATTAAACGATTCCAGAGTCGCTTTGGGACTCTGAATGACGTCGATAATTGGCTGTAATGTTGGGCAACGTAGTCGAGGCTATTTTGACTCTCGAGATCCTATCAATCAGAGGTAATCCGGCAATAATCTTGAAGAAAGTCGCGGACTGAATTATGGGAAGCCCGAGAATCGTAGGGTTCTGTTAGAGGATTATTAACAGAGGGAAGAAGTTTGTTCGCTTCTTGGTCGATGTGACGAACGAGTCGCTTTTAATACCAGCTTTATATTATCCATAGCAGACATCGAAGATAATACGCGGTGGAAGAAAACTCTGAGAATACGGTTTCAACATGCGACTGAATATCTTGGGCCAGATATCGCGTCTAATCGAACAGGCGATAGGAAAACGACAGGCATTTTGTTACGTCATTTTATTGGATCCGAGAATGTAATTAGAGACGAACGAGAAGACCAGCGTAGCTGATCCTCGTATTTCGAATCCATCTCCGATCCTTAAATTATCTATGAACGTCGTTCACTGCGATCGCGTTTCTTTTTGTCTGGATTTTTATTTGATAGTATAAATTTTTGCAAGATTCACTTGTCCTTTGTAATATCCTAGCGATCGAAAGATGTCTTGGGAGACCAACAAAGTTGATACCTGTATTTCCATTTTAAAAGATCTCTAAATTATCCAGGAACGTCGTTCAATTTTATCTAACAGTGCAAATTTTTGCTTGCCATTTTGACTTATCTCGAAAGATGTTTATGCAACAAAAGAGATACCATATTAACCCTTTGCACTCGAGAGGTGAGCTTCAATCACCATTTCATAAAATTTGGAAGATCGATATTAATTAATATATCAAATTTAATGTAATGTAACAGTGTGCGAGGTATTGAAATCAAATAATTCTACAATTCTATTATTATACAATTCTTTATTTAAGTATTATTTAAGTATTAAAAAGTATCGTTAGTTTTTTAGTAGAGAATCTTTGATTTTCTACTCTTCTCTAGTAAAAAATTCGTCGAGTGCAAGGGGTTAATCCTTTGTGGTCCCATATCGATTTGGATTGGATATTCTGTTCGATTCCATTTTTTGCCAATTTTTAAACACGAAACATTACCCTGCATGTTCTAATTTAATCTGACAAAAATGTATCTACGTAGATACGTGTTATTACTCCGAAAATAGAATTAAAATAGAATTAAAATAGAATCAAATGTTGTCTAGCATTCCAAAGTAGATTTCTGACAATGACCCAGTGAGGATGAAATGTAGATAAAACGTTTTGGATCACAATGGATTAAAGAATCAGTCGATCGGTTGATTGCAGAAGACGTACACGCGTATATTGGTCTGTTTATGTCGCGATAGTTATGGTATGGCGAGCCGTTATTTATCAAGTTATGTTAGAATCGGTCCCTCCGGATGGATGTTGCGTTCTTAGTAGCGGTGGTAGTCTGGAACGAAGTCAGTCGGTCGGTCACTGTTGTCGAGTCACTTCTCCTCCTCGATAGCAGTTCAGTCGTTCGAGTGATCTCTGCTATCCTTAGTTCGCGAACAAGTGTTCTCGAGTCTGCTCGCGATTCTGGTCGTCGTCATCATCATCCACGTCCTCGTGACTCTACGCGTTATTGTTTCGCTTAAAGGTGTGTATTGGCTCCCTTGGTCATCTTGGACCACGTCTTCCCCTCGTTTCACCTCTTCCTCTCTATGCTCGAATAAAATCCTCCAAACGAATTTAAACGTTTCTCTCTTTTTCGAAATTTAATCCAAAAATTGGCTCCTTTTCTCTTTAAAACCAAAGTTTAAACGTTTGACCTTTGCTTTACCTTGGTCTACCTTTTAATCATCTTTCTGCCTGTCGCCTTTCCTGCTAGGGGTTTGTAATCGCCAGTTAGAATCTCGTCATTTTTCTCCCCCATTCGACCTGTTTTAATTATGTTATTACCTCGCGTATGTATTTTCGTGCGTGTATTTTCATTGTTATGTAACAACGTGGTACATACGTAATTCGTTTCCTGATATTTTTGATATTTTTACCATCGTGACGAGGACCGTCATGACGAGAAACGAAGCCAAGTTTCTGTAAGTTCACGGTGGTTTGCTCGTTCCATCTCTGTCATAGCTGAGAGGGAAGACAGGTTCTGATAAATTAACTCGAACTTCGGCTTATTATTTTAGGGAGAGTAGAAATTACAGAAGGGGTGAAGGAATCAGTGTCTGATCCCCATTCAGTGTGATAAAAGCGATATTCCGGAGAATCAATCCTTTTCTGCTGCGTAGAAGAATCAGATTGGAAGATGTTTGATGATTTAATATTAAACTTATAACCTAAACCTTCTAAATGTAATTCATAATTTTTAAACTTCCGATTAGAGATTCATAAAATATCAGATATCGTCGTCTCTGTCATATAATATGCTACTGTGAATCATTCTTATTTTCTTAATTTTTAAATTTGCATATATTAACGTTAGATCTACCGACTGATAATGTCGAGATAAATATAATATATGTAGATAGTAACGATGAAAGTGTGACGATGAAAATAAATTAGTATAAATAATTAGATTTCTAACTGGATGGAGAGCGAAATTAATTTTGCAAAAGCAGCTTGACACTTTTGATAAAATCGGAAACCAGTCATTTTCACACGTTTGCTAGTTTCAGCGTTAAAATTGAACTATGTAATTTAGTGATTTTCAACCCGTGGTATACACGTTGTGACAAATTGTATAAAATTTATAAATTATATACAGTGAGGTGTATTAGAATAAATAGATATTATTTACAAAATGATGCGTGACTCGAACATGTATTGGCTGATAGTATGCGAGGAAGAGAGGTTGAGAACTGCTGGTACAATTACTTTAATTAAACGTTTATTACATTTCACTGCGAAGCGATCCATTGCAATTGAATTTCCAAGAACCAGGTTATTTGTACTCCGTTTCGCAGATTCTCTTCTTCTGCAGTTTATGCGAGAAAAATAAGTGCTAAGTGCTTAAGAAGGAGATTAATTAGAAGCATCTCATAGACCTAATGATCTGACGAGTTAAGATTGTTAAATATATCCAAAACAAGTTGAGGAACTCTTTGGTTTTCGGATATTCAAAGCTGAAACTTTTTTCTTCACAAAATTAATAAGATTAAATTAATAAGAAGCTTGTACAATGTATTTACATTGCATGAACTTCATTTTTAATACAGGATAGTAGCCCAATAAATGCGATAATCGAAGAAAGGCTTAGGTAAAGAGATACTCTTCTTCCAAAAAATCCCACAATTTGAAAAACGAAATTTATCATTTATTTATTGTAATCCTTGCTTGACTTAGGATGGCTTCCAGTTATATTCCTGTGGCTACATATGTATAGCATGATACCTAAATTAACGTCCTTTTTATCACAATTTATGTAATATCAAATTGTGCATTAGAATATCATCCCCTGGCTTTATCTATTTCTCATATTCCACCGATACCATGCATTATTATTTCATTGTCTCTTTCCTTTGGTACTCTTCTTTGGTTTGCCTACCTTGGAAAAGGAAATTTAACCCTTTGCACTCGACGATGTTTTTGTTACAGAAAAATAGTAATTCGAAGATTTTCTGTCACAAAGTCGAGGATATTTTTAAAATGGCAAATAAGAAATCGCATGCAAATTAAGACGTAGAATTATTTTACTACGACATTGCACGCATCGTTAGGTAATTTTAAATTTGATATATTAATTAACATCGATCTTTAGAATCTAACAAATGGTGACTGAGAGGCGCCTTTCGAGTGCAAAGGGTTAAGTCCAGCGCATGATGGGTCACTTTTAATACGGGATAATGCCATAATGAACGCTATACTCGGAAAAAGCGGTCTATTCAGAGAAATGCTCTTCTACGAAAAAGGAAATTTCGAAGAAAAATTATAGTCTGTCTCCTCTCGTTCCGTTTCTTCCGAGGATCAAACGTAGTCTGCCTCGTTTTCCACCGCCGGTGACAAATGACCGGTCATTTGGCTCGGTCATTTGACCAGTCGTGGTGGATTTAGCGTTAAAGCGGAACCTTGCACAGCGAGACGACTAAGATATTGGTATTTGCACAGCTAGCAGAACGGAGCTGCCATCTCAGCGACTCCTCCACATGTGGACATCGCCGTCCCGACTCAGGATCGGCCGAGCACCCAGGAAAAAGACGACACCTTAAGCTGATAGCTGCTGCAGCGGCTACCGCGACCGGTGAACGATGGAGAATACCAAGAGGAAGCTGTCTTTCCTTGGTTTTGGCAAGAGGGTATCGGTAAGTCCCCCTTTGCATCTTACAGATTCCGATTTTCCTCGGTCACGTGACTAAATACCACCTAGTCCTACGATTTTTCGCGAGGATACCATCGCCGGTGTTATCGAATTAATTAACACTAGACCTATCAGACACGAAATAGTGTCTTTTATATTTTTAATTAAAAATTTCGCATTCAACGTTGTCACTTGTGTCACTCGTCTTTGCGATTTTTCTTTTAGGCACATAGATGTAATCAATTTTTCAATATTTCCCCGTGTTCCATTTTCTTTATTTTATTTTTTCGCCTAGCTTCTTCCGTCATTTGATCGATCATGCTAGGTTTAGTGTTAATGTATTATAGAAAGATGTATCAGAGAAGTATTTAATTTTTGTTAACCACTATACTCTATTCGCGATAAAATTATAGAAAAATTTGCGAATTTCTCCAAACTTCGCAATTTACAGAAAAATTTGCCAATTTCTCCGAACTTCGCGCATTTTCGGGCATGTTAAGTATAATTCTACCAGTATGACAAGTGTAACATGTTCTGATATTCGACGAGAACTCGTGACAAGCTAGCCTCGTCCTGGTGCGAAGGGTTAATGTATATGCGAATTATGATTATTATCTTTCCTATAGAACGTAGCATTCCACTTAAAAAAATTAGCTCGGCCTTGAATTTTCCTATATCGTTCCACATGTGAAAAGAATGCATCGCATCGTGTCCTTCTTCGTATCAAACAATTCTCCTAGGAACGTCTCTTTAATATCCTCGGTTGCTTTGACAGGCATTCGAGAAGGTGCTGATAAAACGCACGCTCTGTATATTATTATCATTATTATTATCATTGACTGGCCTGACTTCGTTGAAGTAGAGTACATTAAAATTAAAGATCGTCGTGGGAGGTTAAAAATTTCAGTCAAACTTCGTACGAAAAATAAGAAAGGAAACGAAGGAAATCAAAAACTTGGCAAAACTTATTAGCATCTTTCACCCATTTATTATAATTCTCCATTTCTTTCCATCATCGTGCAGCAGGGATTTTAAGTAAATCGAATAAATAATCGAATACACGCATATAAACTTGAATCTTTCTTAGAAATATTAAGTCTTCGGTACTCGTGAAAGAATCCGTCGGCCTGATCCAACGAAACAAAAATTTGGCAACGGGCCCACGTATTTTATTATTTCCTGCTACAATTAGATACGAATTGGTTGAAAATTGAATTCAGCTCGGTCGCGGTCGCCGTAAATTGTTCGTTAAAGACCTCAGACGTAACACGGAACGACTAGACGAATTAATATCGAAACGGGATAAAATTTCCGTGCAATTACGAGGAAGATTCACGACTGGGACAATTACGAAGACGACTCGCGTGTTGAATCGCATTTATCCCGACAAGCGAGTTAACGAGCGTCGAGAATCGACGATAAGACAGACGATCGTCGAACGATTTACCGATATTTTTAATTTACCAATAAATCTACCGCAGTCTGAATCATTTTGAAAACGTTTATCAAAAACTCAACGTTATCGTCCGAGTCACTCGTCTTCCCTGTCATTTTTCTTATTTCGTATACTCAATTAATTTCCCAATATCTATCGTTATTCCATTTCTTCAAAATTTTCCTTCCTTCCCATTCACCGATTGTTATTAATTATATTTTATTATTAATTATCGCGAACATTCGCGATCGAGTTGGTAGTCGAAAGGATCTGTGCTTGGAATTTTCGTACCACAACGAGAGAGCTAGAATTTCGCTGACAGCGTTTACAAAATGGCCGACAATGGCCGAGAGCAAGGATATGTTTACTGTATCGAAGATCACCCGGAGTTTCACGATTTCGTTTTGCGATCGAGCGATCGTGATTCACGCGACTGGGACATCGAAGATCGCCGTTGGAATTCGCGGATACTGCTTCCAAAGATTGTTTTTCGCATACACATTTCGAGTTCCACGAGACATTATTACCGACTTCGTCTAATTACTCGTTAAAAAGCCTTCCGTTGATTAGGGTCTCGCCGCTTCTTAGTCCTTCCAGGCACGGCGTCAATTTATTGCCTGTTTTCATCATTCGAACTGCTCCTTCCAAGAAATAGTTGGAAAACAGGCGCGTGTTTCTCCTTGCATCGAGTTCCAAGATCCAAGATCCAAGATGCACGAGCTGCGCGGCGTTCATTGCAGTTTAAACTAATCGATCGGTCGCGTTGATCGTTGACACCAATGAATCGAAAATGTGGCCCTGTAATGAGACATGATCCGATTAGGGAGAAACACTGAGTCCCGCGAAAATATCATCCCATGGTTGGCTGTTCCGTCATGTAACGTCACGTCGTTTCCTCGGGAGTACTAACGAGTATAAATTCGATGACGTCAAAGTGTGGTACGCCTTGGGCTCGGCTTTATGTAATAGCCGAATCGGTAGCTTCTGGCGTCACAGCTGTTCGATCTTACACTCGCCATTCACGAATAACCCAGCGATCGTTTGTACGGCAACGAAATTCGCGTTTTAAATTCTATACGTGTGGAGAATTCGCGTTTGGAGGAACGTGGAAGAGGGATTACGATGGTGAAGTTGCAGAGAAGGACGAAGATCGTGACACGGTGTAGGAAGTTCGCGGGAACACGTGCCACGAGATTGCTTAAGAGGACTCGAACGTAAACTGGCCTCGATGTCGAAACGACTGCGGTCGTTCGACCGTTTCCAGACTTTTTCATTTTAACTATTTCCGGGCCTGGGTAATTGCGAAGTTTAGCGCGATTTCATTTTCCACGTTGTTCGTCGGATTAAAAAGTTTGACGCGCGCCGGTCTACTCGCTGCACAGTAACGAGCAGTTGCTTTGATCCACTTTCGAGAGTTTAATAAAATCGCGGTTAAATTATTAAAGCAAAGTCGCGATTTCACGAACGATTAACTTCTAACAGCGATGGATTAATTTTTCTTTTCAACTTTCGAACTTTTTCGTTTCTGAATTTTTGGATTTTTGGACTCTGGGATACTTGAATTTTTAGGTTACAGGATCCCAGGATTATTAGATTCTTAGGTTAGCGGATCCTAGGATTCGTGGATTTTTAGATTACTGGATTACAGGATTATCGGATTCTTCGATTACTAGATTCCTGAATTCCCAAATCTTTAGATCTCTAAATTACCGGGGTCCCTAGATTCGTGAACCCCTAAGTCCTTGGATTTCTCTAGATTCCCGAATCCCTAGGTTTCTGAATATTTGGATTTTTGGACTCTCGAACTCGGATTCTTGGATTCTTATATTCTGGGATACTTGAATTTTTAGGTTACTGGATCCCAGGATTAATGGATTCTTAGGTTACTAGATCCCAGTATTATTGTGTTCCTAGGTTAGTTGATCCTAGGATTCGTGGATTTTTAGATTACTGGATTTCAGGATTATCGGATTCTTCGATTACTGCATTCCTGGATTCCTAGATCTCTGGATTCCTAAATTCTTAGATCTCTAAATTACCAGGGTCCCTAGATTCGTGAACCTCTAAGTCCTTGGATTTCTCTAGATTCACGAATCCTTAGGTTTCTGGATTTTCGGGTCCCTAAATTTCCGAAACTTTTGGTCCCTTAGATTTTTGGATCTCTGGATTCCCGGATCCCTAGGTTTCTGGATTTTCTGGTCGCAAAATTTCCGAATCTTTTGGTCCCTTAGATTTTCGGATCCCTAAGTCTCCGGATTTTTGGGTCCCTGAATTCCTGGATCCCTGCACCTTCGATTCTCAGATTTCTAAATTGCTAAATTTTTAGATTTTTATATTTCCGTATCTCTGGATTCCTAGATTTAATTTTTGAAATCCTGAAATAATAGTTTTTAGTATCGTTAATTAGAGGTAAGAGACGTACAAATTGCCGGACGATTCAGGAGTCTCTCGAAACTGCGAGGCAACAATCCTTTCCAGTGCATTCGCCTTGCAAGTTTCTCGTTACGGACATCAACTCGGTCTCTCGCGATTCATTGGATCACGTGCAGTGGGGAGAATTAATTAACATGTCGTGCGTGATTGCTCACACGTTGCAGCTCTCAGTCCCATCGTACAAACCCCCACGGTGCAGATCCTCGTTAAATGAATCGTTAATGTGCCGCAAGGATCGTGCAGCCAAACCGCGAGTTCGATCTTCTCTCAACAGATGTTCCAGATTTTGTACGTCTTATTATACATCCCTGTCGATTAAAATTAATTCTCTCCATCCGATTGTTCCTGACACGCACATCACGCGTCATAGACACCACGTCGCCCATATCTATCCTCCACGTTCTCTGAATTTTTCAACCTACGACCCTCGAAGGTTTCAACGTGATTAGTACGCCAGTAGATCACACCAAAATAAGTCACGCCTTGGAATTTTAAGGGAACTTCAACGGAGAATTCGCGATAAAGAGAGCTAATTCCCTTGGTCACCAAATGGGTGTCTCGATTTATCATTTCTTCTTAGACCATCTGCTGGTCTACTCGGTTAAACTTAGATTCAGATAGGATTTTCCTTTGGCTACTTTCGGAGAAGCTGTCGTAGCTATAACGAGACAAAACAAAGTTACGATTTCGTTCGTCAAATGCGGTTGCTCCTCTAATGGTATTTTCGGATCAAAGGGTCTGTGACGCGAGAACCGGAAATTCTTGAGAACAGTGGTGGAGAAGGCTTCGAAGATTGGAGCCCGAAGTTACGGCACTGATCCGATTAAACCCGTGAATTATAGTGGCTGCGAAGGGACTCTTCGTGACTGAAATTCTTTTTTATAGACGTTGCTAATTCGATAGAGGACTCGAAATGGTCTCGCATTATACGTTCTTTTTTTACATTAACCCTTTGCACTCGAGAGACGCCCTTCAGTCGCCATTTAATAAAATTTCTGAGATCGATATTAATTAACATATCAAATTTAAGATAATGTAACGGTGTGAGAAGTGTCGAAATCAAATAATTCTACGTGTTAATTATTATACGATTTCTTATTCACTGTTCCACAAAATATCGTCGTCGTCAGCTTTAA